CGGCGGCGGGGGCCTGGCTGCGCTGCTTGCGCGGTACGGACGCGCAAGCAGCGACGGCGAGGACGAGGAGGAGGACTGGATGCTTTCCATGGCGATAGCCAGGTCTCTCATAGACCAGGGCGGCGCCTCGTCAGCAGCCGCCGCAGGGGTGGGCCCCGGGGAGGCAGCAACCGGCGCCGGCACAGGCGCGGGCACCGCGACGATCAGCGCGGAGCGGGCACTTGCTGATTCCCTGCAGGCCGCGGCGGCGCACCGCAGCCTTGAGCGCGCGGCGGCGGCCGGCGGCGGGGGCGGCGGCGCCGCGGGCGCCTCGGCCTCGGCTGGACAGGGGAATTTGCCTTTCTGGGCGCAGGCGATGCTGCGAGGCGCTGTCAGCCGTGGGGGCGGCGATCCTTGGGGGGCGCCTGACGATTGGGAGGATGAGGAGAGTGAGGGGGATGAGGAGGAAGACGAAGAGTCAGATGAGGAGGAAGGCGAGGAGATGGGAGGCAGCGCGGCTGCGGCTGCGGCACTCCAGGCAGCGGCAGCGCGGGGGCGGGGGCGGCAGCTGCTGGGCGTGGTAGCAGGGGGCGTGGGCGGCGGGCAGCGGCACGGCGTTGGCGCGGCCGTGACCACCGAGGGCGCAGCAGAAGCGGCGGTGGCGGCGGCGGCGGGTGTGCCCGCGCAGGCGCAGCCGCTGCCACCCCCCAGGCTGGTGGCGCAGCTGAGGGATTGGGCGGCGCTGGCCAGCAGCAGCGACGGCAGCGGCAGCCCCAACTCACCGGAACGGCGGCAGTGGCTGCACGCCCGCGCCGCAACAAGAGGCGCGGCATCACGGCTGCCGCCGCACATATTAGACATGCTGCGGGCACCTGCGCGCGCCAGCGGCAGCAGCGGGAGCGCCGGAGCCTCCCCGCCGGCCGGTCCCGCTGCGTCCGCGGCCGGGACTGGCGTGTCGGCTGCATTTGCTGAGGCGCTGCAGCGGCAGCGGGAGGTGGAGGGGCAGCAGGGCAGGCCGGCTGCAGGGGGCACGGCCTTGGCGGAGGCGATTGCTGCCGCAGCGGCCGCGGCCGATGCTTCTGCACAGCAACTGGCGTTCCTCGGCCTCACCGCCCGCGCGGTGCCGCAGCCGCAGGCGAGCGGTGCCGGCGCCGCACCAGCTGCCGGCTTCGCGGCAGCAGCTGCGGCCGCGCCGCCGCCTTGGCTCCTGCCGCCGGCCGGGGCAGCCGGCGGCGGTGCCGGCGGCGCGGGCGCCGGCCTGGCGGCCCTGACGGAGCTCGTCAGCGCAATGGGCATCGGCAGCCCTGCCGCCGCCAGCTGGGCTGGGCAGCACTACCCCTTCCCTTCGCAGCCCTGGCCGCCCGCCGCCGCGGCGGATGCGGCCGCGGCCGCGGTGGCCGGCGCGCCCGCGCCGCCGGCGCCGCGCCATGGCGGCGGCCGGAGCATGCGGGAGCTGGTGGAGCTGATGCAGGGCCGCCTGGCGCGCCTGCGGGCGATGGGCGATGACGTCATGATGACGTACGAGCAGATGGTCGCGCTGGAGGACGTGCGCGTGTTCACGCCGCCGGACGCGGTCGCGGCGCTGAGGCGGAGCGCGGTGGCGCCGGCGGACCGAGCGGGCGCGGGCGATGATGGCGGTGCGGCCGAGTGTGCGGCTGAAGGTGACGGCAGGTGCGGTTTCAGGGCAAATCAAAGGGCAGGCGAGGGGTTCCCGGGCAAAGTGGAGGGCGCCAGCAGCTGAACCCCGCCCTCGTGATTGACTGTGCCATGAACTTCACCAGCGCGTTGCCGGGTGTCTGCTTGTGGTTCCAGCTTCGCTCTCGTCGCCCTCAAACCCGTCCTTTCAACAACCAACCGCCGGCCGCCCACCCCACGGACCGCAGGCATTGCGGCGGCGACGTCCGGGAGGTCTGCGTCATCTGCATGAGCGATTACGAGGCGGGTGACACGCGCCTGCACCTGCCCTGCGGCCACGCCTTCCACGACGAGTGCGGCTCCAAGTGGCTGGGCTACAGCAAGCGCTGCCCGGTCTGCAAGCGCGAGGTGTGCTGATGGGGCCGATGCCTGGAAGAGGAGGCAGCAGCGCGCCGACGGGCACCTCGGCCGGCACAGCCCTCGTCTGCAATCGATCTGGCCAACAGTGGGTGGACGTGTTGAGGCTTTTCGCAGCAGGATGCGCCGCTCTCGCGCCGCCGGTTTGTTGAGGTTTGCTGGGCTTTCTGTCCGAGGCCTTCCTTGTGCTTGCAAATGCAATTGAGGTCGGCGCCACAGGCCACACCTGGCTTCTGCGCAGCCCGCCGCATCCCCTTTCCCCTCTGCATCCTTCCTCTGTCTGGTGTGTAAATAGCAATGGCCCATATTGCTGCATGAGCAGAAGCATGTGTGTTTCAACACAAGGATGCGGGGCCATCTGCATGTGTCCAGCCAGGCACCAATTCAAGTGTGAAAATACAACAGCGTGCCAGGTTCGCTGCTGCCATGGGTCGATCAGCATGTTACCCCGGCAGTCCAAGCAGGTTGCCAAACGGGAACCCAGCGTTAGCCAAGTTTGACCACAAATTCATGGCCACATGCGTATTGCAACCTCACCGTCTGCCTCTGCATTGGGGCGGCCCACCCCACCATCGATTAGTTCATGAGCAGTTGCAAACAGGTGGCACAACCCAGATGTGGGTTGTGCCCCCAGCGGGTAAACCAGCGCAGGTGAGCGGACCGGCATCCCAACCAATTGACAAGCACTCGCGCAGATGCGCTGCCATCAGCGCCCCGCTGCCTTCCCAGCGATTGTGTCTTGCGTGTCCGAAACGGCTCGGCATACAATTAAATCAGACGGATTGCAAGGGTACCGGCTCGAACACCGCCGCTGTCGCCTTGTGCCCCTGCACACCACGGCTGAGCTCGGATATGGTGGAAGTCCCCGTCGCGACCGCAACGCCGCGGACAGCGCCAAACGCCCTCATGTGCAGATGGGCACGACGGCTCACGGGGCGGAAGCCGGGAGGGCGCTGGTTCCGGTGCCGCTTCAGCGCGAGAGCAGGTGCTGCTTGAGGAACTTCACGCCCTCGTCAAACGCGGTGTTGGAGGCCTTGGCGAACGCGGGGATGCTGAAGTTGCCGCGGACGGAGAAGCCGTGGGGCATGCCCTGCGGGATGAGGTGCACGCGCACGGGGTTGGAGAAGAGAGGGGGGAAGAGAGGTCGAGTTGGGCCGGGCAGTATGCCGACCAGAAGACCGACATGTCTTGTTGTCCCATGGATGATGACTCAGTCTCAAACACCGAGGCACATGCGCGTGCACGCGTGCTTGTGCATGCACAGTCACATGCGCACATGCACGCACTCCTGCTCTCTCTGTCTGTGCCCCCCTCTCCCTCCCCCTCTCTATCTCTGCTCCGCTCCCCCTAACAACAAACTTGCAAATTAGATGCAATGCACAAACCTTGTAGTAAGTGATGACCTGCTGGCCCCCCTTGGCCTGCTTGGCCTTGAACGCCCCCTCGATGTACTTGTAGAAGGTGGAGTTGATCTGGGTGTCCAGCAGGGGGTCGGCCTGCTGCAGGCTGACGGGCCCGGTGATGGCGTCAATAAGTTTGGGGGTCAGGAGGGAGGCGTGGAAGGCCACGGCCGCGTCGACCTTGGGGGCCTGGGGGGTGGACAGCAGGGCGGTGTAGAGGCCGCCCTGCGGGGGGACGGGGATGGGGACGGGGGCGTGCAGCGGGGTGAGTGCTGGTCTGTGTGCAGCGGCAGGCCCAAGCAGGCATGCTGAGCAGCGGCGGCAATTTGAAGGCCTGGGGCCGATACTCCGGGTGTGTCGAGCTCCACAATGCGCTTGCAGTAACCACAGGGGCGCTGCAAGTTGGATTTGCACCGTACGAGTGCAGCCGGCACAAGCACTGTGCTGTCCCCACGCGTGGCCTGCGGTCTTGCCCCTGCGCGGCCTGTTCCTGCTTAAGAGAGGGTGCCACCCCTGGGCCACCCACCCAGCAGAAGCCCTCCTGGCCGATCTTCTTGACCGAGGGGTAGGCCTTCTTGATGGCGGCCACCACAGTGTTGAAATCAGCAATCACGCGATCCTTCTTCTGGCGGCCGATAACTGCCAGTGCCGCGTGGAGGGTGACGCGCGGTGTGAAGCTTGTCTGAGACAGGCTGCCAGGTGCGGCGGTACTGGTGCGCGTGGACAATGTGACGCACGGCGGCGCCAACAGAGTTGGAGGCCTCGGCCTCAGGCCCTAGCTCCATACATAGCCGGTCCGCCTCGCCCCACCCGCGCGGCGATCGAGGCGGCCCCCATTGCTCGCGGCGCCCCAATCAGATGCAAGCGGACGATCAGCCTGTGATAAACAAAGGGTGCCTCACATGCCATGACGTCGGAGCCGAGCACGTCCCCACGGAACCAGTCGGGCAGCACAGCCAGGAAGCCCGCCTTGGCCAGGCGGTCGGCCCACAGCCGCGTGTTGTTCCACTGCCACCTGGGGGGGGGGGGGTGTGCATTGAATTGTTGGGATGAGGGCGGGCGTCGAGGCTTCCAGGAGTCGTTGCGTTGGGCGTGCCCCCCAGGATGCGTCCAGGCGTGTTGCGTGGCGTTGCGCTAGGCGCGGCGAGTAGGGCACCAGGGCGACACAAGCGCGGAGGCTGCGGGTGCGCGCTGCCGCCCGGGCTGGCTGGTTTGGCGGCAATTTTGTGCCCGGCGGAGGGGGTCTCACCCGTAGACGTCGGGGAAGATGATGACAGCCGCCGTGGGCTTGCCGCTGGGCGCCGCGATGTAGGTCTCGATGCTGCTGTTGCCGGCGGGGCCCAGCTTCACAACCTTGCCGGTCTTTGGCGTCGCAAAATGATGGGAGGGGCAGGCGTCGGGCATTGGTTGTGGGTTTGAAAGATGCAAGCGGGCGTGGAAGCGGGGTCCTAAGATACAAGGCCCCCCCCTTGCATGGGGATGAGGAGACTGCAGTGTTGGTGCCATCAGGCCACCAGCCAGGGCATGTTGCGCCTGCTGGGCAGCTGTCTTGTGCCCTCGCGGATGGCTGGTGAGCAGGGCGCAAACACCACCACAGCAGAGGGGCGGGCTTGCGAGTACGAGCAGCCGGCGTATTGCCGCGCGCACGGCCGACCCGCCGCTGTGCACCAGCTCACGAGCAAGGATAAACCACAACTGTTCAGACGCCCGCAATAATGAGACGGCCGTGCTAGTGTTCAGCCCGCGCGCAGCACCTGCCGGACCACACACGCAGGACCACACACCCACCGGGACTCCGGATTGTTGGAACCCATAAGTGTGAGTGTTCCACAGCCAGTTATCGATGCGCGCCTCGGCACCGGCGGCCAGGGCCAGGCCCAGCAGGGCCACGAGCACCGCAGGACGCATGGTGTGATGAGTCTGATCTGCGGAGTGTAACTCGCTGCGTTGAAAGCGAGCTGGGGTGTTTAGTGTGGGCGCCAATTGCGGTACGTATCCCTTACAACGTACTTAAGATTCTCCTGCAGCTGCAAGGCAGGCACATCAAAGCATGACTGCAGATGGCATCTGATCAAACGTTCTCACCCGGCCGTTTTTAAAGCCAGTGGCACCGCCCCTTTGCAAAATTTCTTAGAAATAAACCACAGCATCCAAAATGTCAATGCCAGGAGGCTAGCCGGAGTCAGTGGTGGTCATTGAGCCGGTGACAACTGGGGATGATGAAAGCTTAGCCTAGCCGGACTGCAGGCACACAGCCCACAACCTACTCTGCGCACCAAGGCGGCGCGGCAGCAGCGCTCTTCGTACACTGCTTGCAATTAGCAGGCTGGTCGCTTCCATGCAGCACTGACAGACCTCGCCAGGGCCAAAGC